GCTTCAACTGAGCATCTATGTTTTCAGCCAGTTTATAGCTGCAAAACGCATGGGAACCAAGGACAGCATATTTAAAGTGAACTTCAGAAGACCTGCTCCCAGTCACACCAACTCTGGGCAATCAGAATTAGCTTCCACGCCTTTCAACCAAGGCTGACAGATACGTGGGAACAGCACCATGAAAGGCATTCTATCACACAGATGAAGTAACTCCTAACTTCTTTCTCTCTTGATAGATACATGGAGACAGACAAGCAACAGTTTGGAGGGCTTTCTGGAAGGTTTTGTCAGAATTGAAGGAACCAGCTAGTCCGGATTCTTCAAGATTCATCTCTCTTGAACCAGACAAACACTTCTTTTACTTACCCTGCTACCATTCAACACTTAAGGCTTACAAGGATGCTCAAGCCACACATAGTGCATTCTGCTCTCATCACTTCTATCACTAAATAATCACTAATTTTCAGAGATTATGCCAAAATTAGTAACCTTCTCCCAGACAGCTGATTAGACCAACATCCAAAGAGCTTTTCATGCTGATTCAAGGGCCGCCAGTCACAACTTCCCTGTTTCTAACGCATAAAACCTAAGTTGCCACGCATAAAACAGGATTACATATTTGACAAAGGCCGTTGATAGTTCAATATTGTCATGCATCCCAACTCAACTTCTTGCTGATTGATCATCACCACAATTAGCCTGCTCATCACATGTTCCAAGAAGATTTTTCCCTTACGTCCTCTCCCGTTCTTCATCTGCATGCTGCAAGTAGATAGTCCCACTCTGTTCCTTCACAGACTCTTCCAGAGGGGTCAACAAGTCCTCAAGCTCTTTCTGCTGTGACAGAATGAAGTCTAGCTCCTGATCCAGTCTGAAAAGAGAAAATGTTAACTACCCTACTTAGAGATTACAGACATTCTAGATCTGCCATACCACAACGCAAGAAGATGCAAAAAAGAAACAAAATCATTTCAAGCGCTCACAGTTCCGTACCTCTTCTGATCAAGCTTCACTTTCTCTACTTCTCTGTGTAATGAAGTAATCTGGAAACAGAAGACACTTAATTGTACTAAGAAAATTACTTGTTACCATAGTGTAAACTCACAGAACAGATTTTTCCAAGCTTCAAAGCCTAAAGACCAGAACAGACATACAGCGAGTCTTTCACAAGCATCAGATATAATTCACATCTGGTTTTTTGCAAGTAGAAAGTCCCACTAGATGGCTTGCTGCATCTGTAACACTGAAGGCCTTTAAGGATCTAAGCAAGCAAATCAGGTTACACTGGATGTCACTGTACCTTCTCTCCATTCTCTATCAGCGTCCGATCCCAGGCATTAACTTGCGTAGCTTGATGGAGAAAGTGTTTCTCTTGGTCTTCCAGTTCCAGACTCCACTTATTTATCAAACTCTCTAGCTGGGCATAAGTCATCACTGGAGGTGCGCTGAGAGGAAGTGCGAGACAGTACAGAACACAAGATCAAAAACCAAAATATAAACATGACAACACTCATTTCCCCTTCCTCCACCAGATACCAGCATTAATACTGCCTCTTGCCTGAGTCGCAAA